TCACCTGGTGCCCCACGGAGAGGGGCACCGGCGGAAAGCCAGGCGCTCCGGGCGTGAGGCGGTGCTCGAATGGTGTCTAGGATTGTCTGGGACACCATGACTTCAGGTGCGATGCTGGTCGCTAAAAACGGAACTAATAGCCCGGAACAAAAAGGAAATCAAGACCATTTATAACTGTGAATCCTGCCAAAAAGTGGGTGTAAAAAACGAGTGGTCGTTCGTCATAATCTGCACAGAGCTTTAGGCGTATTGAAGAGCGGTAAGTGGCAATCATGGGGTCACAAGGTCACAGAAGACCGTGGTTAGCAATGCTTGCCGAGGATTATAGAAAATGCTGTCGTCGTAAATCTACAGGAATAGAAGAAACCCATGCTGCGCGTCCTAGAACCCATTCATTCCAGATCTTCCAGTATCTTCCACTCTCGTAGCATGCACGTGACGGCAGTATAACTAACTCAAGCGCGGGAGGTCTGTCTCCGTAGCCAAAAAGCAGACGGAAGCTTAAAAGGATTCCACGTGTCCTTCCTTGTGTTGCTTTCCAGAGCCAAACAAACAAAGACATCCATCAAATAAACAACAATCAGGGCACACGGCAGCACGGTCCGTTCGCTTGTATTCACAGGCCGTTGGAGCTGTCAAACTGTGTGTATGTACAAGGTTCATAGGGCACGCCAGTCCGTCACGGGCTGGAACTCAGACCGCCGGCTCGTACACACCCACATACACACACGCCCCGATCCATCCCGTCTGATGACGGCCGTGTCACGCATCGTTCCGAGTTCCGCTCTCTGGCGAGTTGTCTATGGGCATTACTTGGCACCGGGACCGGTCGGCGGCCTGTCCTTGGCCCCGGATCTAGAGTCGGGGCAAGCTGAGACCCCGGGTCGACGGCGGCTGCGTGCCTGAGCGCCCCGGCGCGCCGCCGAGCTGGGGCTCGCCGGGGCCGTCACCTCGGCGCGCCGGACCATCGACGCCGGCGGCGGCGGTACCGGGTACCGTCGGCAGCCCGTCCTAGCCCTGGATCTAGAGTCGGGGCAGCTTGAGACCCCGGTCGACGGCGGCTCGCGCCCCGAGCGCCCTGGCGCCGCCGCCGGGCTGGGCTCCGCCGCGGGCCGTCACTCTCGGCGCGCCGACCTCGACGCCGCCGCGGCGGCCGGCGGCGGCGGCGCGCACCAGTGTGCGCTGGGCGCGAGCCGCTGCGACCGGGGTCTCAAAGCTGCCCCGACTCTAGATCCAGGGCTAGGACGGGCTGCCGACGTACCGCCGCCGCCGGCGTCGATGGTCCGGCGCGCCGAGGGTGACCGGCCCCGGCGAGCCCCAGCTCGGCGGCGCGCCGGGGCGCTCAGGCACGAGCCGCCGTCGACCGGGGTCTCAAGCTGCCCCGACTCTAGATCCGGGGCCAGGACAGGCCGCCGACGGTCCCGGTGCCAAGTAATGCCCATAGACAACTCGCCAGAGAGCGGAACTCGGAACGATGCGTGACACGGCGTCATCGACGGGATGGATCGGGGCGTGTGTGTATGTGGGTGTGTACGAGCCGGCGGTCTGAGTTCCCAGCCCGTGACGGACTGGCGTGCCCTATGAACCTTGTACATACACACAGTTTGACAGCTCCAACGGCCTGTGAATACAAGCGAACGGACCGTGCTGCCGTGTGCCCTGATTGTTGTTTATTTGATGGATGTCTTTGTTTGTTTGGCTCTGGAAAGCAACACAAGGAAGGGACACGTGGAATCCTTTTAAGCTTCCGTCTGTTTTTGGCTACGGAGACAGACCTCCCGCGCTTGAGTTAGTTATACTGCCGTCACGTGCATGCTACGAGAGTGGAAGATACTGGAAGATCTGGAATGAATGGGTCTAGGACGCGCAGCATGGGTTTCTTCTATTCCTGTAGATTTACGACGACAGGCATTTTCTATAATCCTCGTGCAAGCATTGCTAACCACGGTCTTCTGTGACCTTGTGACCCCATGATTGCCCACTTACCGCTCTTCAATACGCCTAAAGCTCTGTGCAGATTATGACGAACGACCACTCGTTTTTTTACACCCACTTTTTTGGCAGGATTCACAGTTATAAATGGTCTTGATTTCCTTTTTGTTCCGGGCTATTAGTTCCGTTTTTAGTCGACCAGCATCGCACCTGAAGTCCATGGTGTCCCAGACAATCCTAGACACCATTCGAGCACCGCCTCACGCCCGGAGGCGCCTGGCTTTCCAGCCGGTGCCCCTCTCCGTGGGGCACCAGGGTGAGGGTCGGCGGGATCGGTTTCCCGCACCAATGGCTGGTTCAGGTCAGCGGTCTGGAGCCTGGGCGGTATGCTCCAATAGCGCAGCTTAGCCGGGATCGAGATACTCCGCTTCAGGTCCTCCTCCCCCATTGCACTACGCATTTCAGCTGTCTGATTCTGATTCTGACTGCGACAGCCCGGGTGAGGTTGCGACGTCAGTGAATAGAACTTCCACTTCCCACTTCCACTTCCACTTTCAGGACTGCGTGTCGCGGAAACGATCTGGGACGTATGTACATGCTTCGACACTCGCGCCAGCGTGTGCCAAACTCAGAAATGTCCCGCTTTAGCCGGAGTATTCGACAGACACCAAAAAGTTCCGGTCGCTGCCCTGTCGGGTGCCGCCTCCGGGAGACCGCACTGTCCATCACCGGCTGGCGTAGCTACTGACAGCAGCGATTGACCAATCAGCGTCGGACTAGCGGCCGGATTCGGCCGGCGCTCGTTACCCGCCGGGGTAATGGCGGTCGTGTTCAGCTGGCCGGCACCGACGACGGTCGCCCCCGCTGACTCACCGGGCCAAGTGGCGCTCGAGCCTGTCGATGCGGGTGCCGCTCGACGGTCGGCGGGCCCGCCAGCCGAGGGAGTCCAGGGACTGCTGTGGGGACGGACCAGGCTGGCAGATGGGATGACTGGCGAGATGACAGTGTTGAAGACCGGGCGGACCGCTGTTCCGAGGTCCTCACTGCTCCAGATTCGCTTGGAAGCACGCTGTCCTTTCATTTGGCCAACTGCTGAAGGCGGCTGTGAGCCGCGCGTTTTCGACACAAAGCTGTGGTTCGACATCGGTGGATTCACGCAGAAAGTCGACAGACACGCGGCATGGTGACGGAGTGCACGCGTGGATGGTCGCGTGTCGCTTTGCCCCGTTCCACACAGAGCCCCTTTGTTTTATGGGCTGTTCGGTTGCGTGCCCGGCTATTGTTTAGCTTTCTTTAATTGTAGTGTACTCTCTCTGAATCTGCTTGGGTGCGTTTGTACGGTAAGCTTGTTTTCTCGTACCCAATCGTGTTTTTGTTATCCAGTCGGTTTGGTGCTTGTTAGTGGCGCGCCTGTTTATGGCTATGTTCTCCCGTTCCGTCCTTGTATGGCGGCATGATCTGACTGGCTTTGGTGGTGTTTCTGCACCCAGACTTTCAATTTAGGTGCACCCCAGTTGGAACCAGAATACCGTCCGCGACCCGTCTTACATCACACCGATATAAAATACCGGGCTACGCTGTTCGACTAGTGCGATAATCTAGCTGTGAGCCGTGATGCGGACATGTTTTACCTCTGGCGTGCACTAGCGATGGTCAGTTTATGGTCTGCAGGCCTATCAGTCAAGTTTAACCGTAAACATATTGTAAGTTAAATTCAGCGCACAACTGCGATGCGGATGCCAAAAAGGAAAACACAATTATCAATTATGTTTAACATAGAGGGCCTGTGCATACCGCGATCCTCGTCAAACATCCAAGTCTTGAAGTATAAAGGACGAGGCTGGGCTTAGGGAAGTACGCGATGCGCGGTGTGGATGAGTTTGCAGAACACGACAATGCAGGTGTCATTCAGGTGTTGACGCTGCGCCTCAGAGTTCCCATCTAAAAATCAGATTAGGGGGAGTGCTCAATGCGTGGTCAGTACCGAAGCTGTGACAGAAGAGTCGGGGTTCTGTCCTTGAACAGGCCCAATATATGGATGATGACACCACCATGAGTGTTATATTGCCTGATAGGGAAGAAGCTGGTTTCGCGATATCGGCGGGCGTTTCTGAAAGGATTTAGGACTGGAAAATTTCGGCATCTGTTAGGAAGCAGAGCATGCCAGTCCTTGCATTCTCCTGAAACAGCATCCGTAGCCATGGCTGAATGTTTCGTGTCGATGCATTAGTCACCCCACCTTTACAAATTCCGTTACGCCATGACCATTCTTGTCCGCTTGCTTTTCACCTCGTTTTATGGTACAGCGCACGTAAAAAATGAGCTTCACATTGCACGTAACTGACAAATGGCGTCAGTAAAACACGTGCAACCGCCACACAATATTTGAATCTACGTTATAATCATCATGACCATGGTCTCAGTTTGGTGTGTTACATGTGTAAACACACCATGTCTTTGTTTACATGCAACCACATGTCTCTTAACAGACCAGAAGTCGTTGAGTAATGAATTCTGATATGAACGGACGGGCCACGAGCTTTAGACGCTTCCGTGTGCAATTTTAAACATGGTGGACGCGGACGGCTGGTGTTTGGACCGCGCAGTATACAAACATTTTCAGCGATTGTTTTTCCTCAGTCCGTAATCAAGTTCTCAAGGTGGCTTTTCGGCGAAGCTCTTCGACAGCGGACCTCATTTATCGCCTGGACTGCGCTAAATTGGCTTCGGGTATGGATCATACGAAAAGGAATCAATGCGTCACCAGCGGAAGCCAGGGGCGTCACCAGCAGCGAGTACGGGGGGGAGGGAAGAGACTGTAGTCATGTGTTCCTGGTCAGCCTCACTCCCCATCAAACGTCGTCGCCGCCTGGAGTCATCCCCAGCGAGTGCGCCGTGCACCCCTCCCTCCCGCCGCTGAGTGCGCCCCTGGCGTCAGCGCCGCCGTCCGTGTCGACGCCGTTCCGGGCGGCGTGCCGTGTCGTGTCGCGCCATGCCGTGCCGTGCCGTGTCGGCGGCCGGCCTGGACTGACGGGCGTGACTGAGTGCGTGAGACGTGCTGCAGGAGATTCATCCAGACGCGGCCGTCGCGGCGCCGCCTCAAGCAGTCGGGGATCCTGCGTGAGCGCGTGTTCGGCTGCGACCTGGGCGAGCATCTGTTCAACTCGGGACACGACAGTGAGTGAGCCGCTGCCACCGCTGTGTGACGCCGTGCTGTCCGGTGCGCAGCCGCCACCGCCGCTATGTCACGCCGCGCTGTCCTGTACGGATGAGGCTGCCACTCTTCCCAGTGCTGACTTGATGACGACTGCGCTTCCGTTTGGATGTTGACGTTGCCTGTTGCCGAGCTGTTCTGTCCCGGGTCGTGCCACATGTTCGCCTTGCCTGGGTGCCTGAGTGCAGTCGTCACCGTGTTGGTCATATGACGTGCAGAGACAGTGAGTGCTGGCGGCCGTGTACAGTCGTGAAGTGTGGTGGTGAACTGTCCGAAAACGATCATCAAAGCATTCTTTAAAAACGCTGTTTGAGTACACCATCATGGTCGTGTGCGAGGCCGCGCAACATCCGTAAACTGCTATGATCATGTAAGAAAATGTACTATTTTACACTAACATAAGCATGCACGTGACTGTGATCACGCCCATATCACGATCACGCACGCCCAGCTGCCGGTCGTGTCCATGATTGGGCACGGCTCGCGTCTGGTCGTGGCTGTGAGCCCATGTGCTGGAGGGGCCCCGCCGCCGACGCTGATCCGGCGTCGACCGCTCCGCAGTCCCGGTGGTGCTGAAGAGCTGCGCCGAGTTCATCGAGGCGCACGGCATCGTGGACGGCATCTACCGGCTCTCAGGCGTCACGTCCAACATCCAGCGGCTCAGGTGCGTACCGCCCATCATGTCCGACATCCGGCGGCTCAGGTGCGTACTGCCCATCTGACGCGTCACGTCCAGCTTCCAGCGGCTCAGGTGCGTACCGCCCATCACGTCCAATATCCGGCGGCTCAGGTGTGTACCGCCCATCTGATGCGTCACATCCAGCTTCCAGCGGGTCAGGTGCGTACCGCCCATCACGTCCAATATCCGGCGGCTCAAGTGTGTACCGCCCATCTGTCGCGTCACGTCCAGCATCCGGTGGCTCAGGTGCGTACCGCCCATCTGACGCGTCACGTCCAACATCCAGCGGCTCAGGTGCGTACCGCCCGTCCGTCCAACATCCGACGGTTCAGGTGCGTACCCATCTGACGCGTCACGTCACACATCCGGCGGCTCAGGTGTGTACCGCCCATCTGACACGTCACGTCCAGCTTCCAGCGGCTCAGGTGCGTACCGCCCGTCACGTCCAACATCCAGCAGCTCAGGTGCGTACCGCCCGTCACGTCCAACATCCGGCGGTTCAGGTGCGTACCGCCCGTCCCACGCGTCACGGTGGGGCGGATGTCCCAGGATGGCATCCCAGGTGCCTGACGCCGCGCTTTTCGTCGCGCGTCGGCCTGCGCCGTTTCATGCATTCAGCGTCCTGAGGCTCTAATACCAGCGAACAAAGCGACAGGATCATGACGAAATACCCGTAAGAGGCCGTGGCTTAGAGTACAAGGCTCGCACTGGCACTCAGGCTCCGAATGGAGCGCTTCATCAATCATGATAATTTGGTGATTGTCTAAGAAGGCTGCTTGTGACGGTCTCACAGGAGCTTAGCTGCTTTGTTACTTCGTGCTCTCTCCCACGCTGGCTGTGACTCGCTAGATACGACGCCCAGCTTGGACGCGGTTGGTTCCGAACAGCGATGGATGCTTGGAGATGCACCCCTGGCCCAGCTTAGCTCTCATTGTCGCGTCAATTTATTGTTATTTTTACATTTTCGGAATCGCTTCCATGAGTGGTTCTAGATTGAGAGCACTAGACAAATACAGATTCTAAGCTGTGGCTTTTAGTTGAACGGATTATCTCGTCCCACTCCTTTACGTGTTAGGACCGCGAAGGGTTTTTCGTGCAGCACATTGGTGCTGCGCGGCCGCACTGGCCTGTGTTGACCTTCGTTGGCCATTGTGAGCTGACATTTCCTGTCGTTCGAACAAAACAATGCGCTTGCCATGGAGCTTGTATGTAAATGTTCTCCCTGGCTGACTGGTGTAACGCTGACCAGAGTTTCCACCAAACCGCGAGCCTGCAGAGAATGCAACGCGGTGTGGGATACATCCCAGGGTGGTCAGGATCGAATGCGGGCTTTTTGAACACGCGGGATGACCCTGAGCCGGCGGCGGGCTCGCACGAGCATCTCTGTTTACGCGGTCTCCATCACGCTCTGGCTGAGTTATTGCTGGGCGACAGACGGCTGTCGGCGGCAGCGGCAGACGCGCTGTGCAGCTGGGCCGCCAACAGACGGCGACCCTGACCCTGCGGCTCCGCGGGACACGGCGGCGATGGCGTCACACCTGCAGCTCGGCGGGGACGCCCGGGACGCGATGAACAGACTTACAGATAGACTGACTGACTGGCAGGCAAACGCAACTGACAGACCAGTTCAGGTGGCAGACTGGCACGGGTGACAGACCTATACATTCAAGAGACTAACGCAACTGACAGATTAAAGTGGCTGGCAAATTAACGCGACTAACAGACTGAAGTGGCTGACAGACTAACACAGCTGACAGACTTAAGTGACTGACAGACCAACGCACTGAATATTGACAGGGTCAGTGGAGACCTCGCTGCTCGCGACTGCCCGTTTGATTGTCTGTTGTCTGGAGAGACGGGTGGCTCGTCGTACAGCGACGAGTGACGGACGTATGTGCTGCCCCTCGGCGAAAGCTTTTCTGATCCGATGCCGATTCAGAACACTCTCCGGGACGCATACACGTGTATACATGCCTGGTCCATGACAAAGGCCATGTTCTCGGCACGTCCATGAGACGGTTTTGACCTCTCGTTTGTTGACTGGATCGCCGCCGACGCAAGCGTCCTATCAGAAGACCTGTCTAGATATACCGGTCCGGTAGCCAGAGGATCGCTCCGTCGACGCAGGGAAAGGCGGGTCTCGGGAGGGCTCACCGAACCGGAGTCTCTTCAAAGGCAGACCATGCTCACAAACCCACTGCCGCGGACGCTGGTTTGTACAGTTCGACGCCGTAACGGCGGCCATCCCAGCTTTGTCTGCTGGGCTGAAGAGCCGGCGAGGCGAGCCAGCCCTGAACAAACCCGTCCCGCGAGCTGTGACACGCGCATCAGTCAGCTGCGGCATCGCGGCGGCGGGTCCTGGCGATCGACTTACTGACGGGCCAGCTGGCAGGGAGAGACCGGAGATCACGGACCAACAGACAGGCTGTCCGCCAGCGGGCGATGACAGCACCCGGTGTCGTGCGGATTGTGACGGTATCTTTGAAGATCTCGTACCGGTATCTGGCGGCTGGACTTAAGAGAAAATATTTTGTCTTTTTGGGGTCTGCCCGACAGACACGCGGAATGAAATCACGCCCAGTTGTTCCGCGTGTGACCGCCCGGAAACCGCATTTTGCGTAAGATGCAGACTGCGAACGGACCATACGTGCACGTGGCGATATGTGATATGTGACGATACGCGACGACGCGTCTCTCGAAAACTTTGCGTGACGCGTGATGAGCTCATACGGCCAGCTGTGTGGCGGGTCAGCTGTCACTCACCGGCCTGACCCGTTCGCCACCAGTCTGTTGGCCCAATTGTTGTACAAATATTATATTGTATTATTATATGTTGTATTGTATATATATATATAATATATATATATATATATATATGTGTATTATATATTGCATTTAATGTATATTGTAAATATTATATAAATTACCGCAAATATTCGCCTGAAATGAACACGTCCTTCGCTGAGAATGCGCTCTGAAGGTCGTGGCGCAAGGCCGCTTTGCCGCTCAGCTCGTACCAAGTATTCTGCTTGGATTGGATGGTTGATCTTAAATCACGTGACGGCCAGACGCGCGATCTCCTCTGAAGATTGATGACGTCATCCGCCCGCCGTCTGTGTTGACCGCTGCGTGACGTCTCCCCCCCCCCCCCCACAGGAACACGTTCGACGAGGACCGGGTGCCAGACCTGACGGAGCCTAGCGTGCGCCAGGACATCCACAGCGTCTCTGCCTGCTGAAGCAGTACCTGCGCGAGCTGCCCAACCCGCTGCTCACCTACCAGCTGTACGACAAGTTCGTGGCCGCCGTTCAGAGCAGCGACGACCAGCGACTGCTGCGCATGCGCGACGTGGTTGTTCAGCAGCTGCCGCCGCCCCACTACAGGTCAGCGGGGCGGGGCGGGTACGGCCTCTGCCTGCAGCCTGTGGGACTGAATGTAGCAGCAGAACTCCACGGTTATCTCGTTCGCAGTAGACACTACGGCTTCTGCCGTGCGTTGACGCGTTTATAACTAAAGAGGAACTGCACTTAGAACCCTTGCGATTTGGCGCGGTCACTCGCTTAGCGGGCGATTGTGCACCATTGCTGGACGCTTCGACTCACATATTTACCAAGCGGCATTTGGTGTTCACTCAGCTACCGTCGGTGCTATGGCGGGTCTCCGGTAACAACACGAGTACTGCCACAACCAGGTACCATCTTCCACACTGCTACGGTCACGGTAACATCAAATATCGCGATCTGTGCGCAAGGAAATCCAAAACACAGAGATCTCTGCCGCGTGTGACCCCCTCGACCGTTGCCACAGGACGCTGGAGTACCTGGTCCGTCACCTGGCGCGGGTCTCCACCCACTCGCACAGCACCGGCATGACGGCCAAAAACCTGGCCATAGTCTGGGCACCAAACCTGGTGCGAAGCCAGGAGCTCGAGGCCGGCGGCGTGGCCGCGCTACAGGTCGGTGGCGTCGCCAGCTGGCGTCATGACGTCATTGGATCACAGCCGCAGTCAGCGTGTCTGCATGGTGTGTCGGTGTGGTTTTAATAGGTGAACATTCCTTGCTCGGCATTTGGTATTATTGGAGTACGGCACATATCCACCCTGTATTATGCCAACTGGAACATTGATAACCTGATCGGCACAGTCTGGTGGAGTACCTGACCCCTGACCCCTGCCCTCTGGCAACAGGGTATTGGGGTGCAGGCGGTGCTGGTAGAGTACCTGATCCGGTACAGCGAGCTGATCTTCAGCGACAAGCTGCCGGCCTTCGCTCCGGATCAGCCGTCGCTGCCGCGCGCCACCAAGCGCTCGCGTCCGCGCTCACTGGCCATCTCCACACCGACCAAGTTACTCAGCCTGGAGGAGGCCCGCGCGCGCGCGCTCGGCTCGCCCGCCAAGGCCGACCAGAACTACATTGAAGTCGGTGAGTGCATGAAGGGACGGAGGAGGAGGAGGGTGAGCTGATCGTGGGCGCGGTGGTGGCGGTGGAGGGTGTTTGATGACTGGGATGGCCGCTCTGAAAATGGGCCGCTCCTGTAGTGCTTTCTGCGCCAGTTCCTGCTGTCTTCGGTCGCTCGGCCTTCCGCCACGTTTCGTCGGTTGAGGCCTTACTTTCTGCTTGATCGTTGGCGTCAGCTTGTAGGCTGGTCAGAGTCTGAGACCAAACGAGTCCAAACGGAAGTGAGCCATCCGCCTATCTGTCTCTTTCTCTCCCCGTAGACATCGCCGCGACGACGTCTCGACTACGAATCTGACCTCCCTGTGATAGCGTGCTCCCTGTTTCCTTGCATTTCACCCTCGCCTGCCACCACCCATTCCTCATCATCACTCATCACACGGTCTTCGTCTCTGGGTCTCCCGTTTCGGTACGTTGGAGCTTACTGTCTGCTAAACGCTTACTATCCATATCCCTCCGCTGCTGGGGCCACACGCGCTCCCTGCATGCTCGTAGTGCCGGCTCCTGCATTGGTCAAATAGGCGCCAGTCTGACCGACAGCAGTCGAGGTCGTGTTTTGCTGACTTGTTATCGGTACGGTGGGCGATGAGGCCCTTGATATGTGGCTTTCCGCTCGCTTGCTGCTTTGTAAACCACTCTAATTATGAAAACGCTTTCGCCAAGTTTAAAGGACATGCTGGTGTTTTATTTGTTTACGCTTCCACGCTGTGCTTGGTTTGAGTAAAAGCTACATGAACCATATGTAACCTTGCAACGTTAATTTTCCGGTCTGTTGTGTTGATGCTTCTGTTATAATGTCGATGCATACATTCATATTGTTGCCAGCACCCGTCCTCATACATGCATGGGTTTTGCATAGCCAGACGTGTACAGGTTCGTTATTCTGCCATTTTTCTTCAGAGGAACGAACCGTAAAGTATTGCTGATGTATCGTCACTCGTCTAACTTCAGCCGGCGCAGTCGTGCCGGGCATCACTCAGGGCCCGAACCCGTACCACAAAGCCGGCCGTTGCCGCCGCAGCGAGTTGGTAACCAGCGGTAACCCTGCCCCCGGGCGGTCGGTGACCGGCGGTAACGCCGCCCCCCTCCGGCGATGTGTCGGCAGGCGGCGGGCCGTCCGCGCTCCCGGCCAAGTACCACACGGTGCTCCGGCCGCCGCGCCGCCGTACCGGCTCGCTCAAGTTCGGCCGCGCCCCCATCGGCTGGCGCTCCCTGTTCCGCAGCCGCCAGAGCCGCTCGCGGCAGGCCGGCGCCGACGCCGACGCCGGCGTCGACGCGGCTACGTCGCCCGTCGACATCGCACTAACGGTACGCACCCTGCCCCGAGGGGCGGACGTCCCTCGACGTGGGCGAGTGGGCCCAGTGCTTGCCATGCCCCGAGGCGCGGACGTCCCTGGGTGCTGGCGAGTGGGTCCGGTGCGCGCCCTGCCCCGAGGCGCGGACGTCCCTGGGTGCTGGCGAGTGGGTCCGGTGCACGCCTTGCCCCGAGGCGCGGACGTCCCTGGGTGCTGGCGAGTGGGTCCGGTGCACGCCCTGCCCCGAGGCGCGGACGTCCCTGGGTGCTGGCGAGTGGGTCCGGTGGACGCCCTGCCCCGAGGCGCGGACGTCCCTGGGTGCCGGTGAGTGAGACTGGTGCACGCCCTGCCCCGATGAGCGGACGTCCCTGGGTGCTGGCGAGTGGGTCCGGTGCGCGCCCTGCCCCGAGGCGCGGACGTCCCTGGGTGCTGGCGAGTGGGTCCGGTGCACGCCTTGCCCCGAGGCGCGGACGTCCCTGGGTGCTGGCGAGTGGGTCCGGTGCACGCCCTGCCCCGAGGCGCGGACGTCCCTGGGTGCCGGTGAGTGAGACTGGTGCACGCCCTGCCCCGAGGCGCGGACGTCCCTGGGTGCCAGTGAGTGGGTCCCGTGCGCGCCCTGCCCCGATGAGCGGACGTACCTGGGTGCCGGTGAGTGAGACTGGTGCACGCCCTGCCCCGATGAGCGGACGTCCCTGGGTGCCAGCGAGTGGGTCCCGTGCGCGCCCTGCCTCGAGGCGCGGACGTCCCTGGGTCCGGCGCACGGACGGACGTGGCGACGTCAGTCGCTGTCGTGGTGAGGCCAAGCACTTTAGGGTGAGGCCTTTCAATCGCCTAGGACCAAAGTGCGAGTAGGTGCTGTGTGATGGCCCCAGCGTATGCTTTCGTATTATGACTATTTGATGTGTTGTTATTCCCTGCTGTGCGAATGCCGTGCGAATTATTGCAAAGGCACCACCGTATCACCAATGCAAAGCCATTATTAAAATATTGCTGGATGCGACTTACAGAACCGGACCTTGACTGAGTCTGACCTGAGTCAAGGTCAGAATCGGGTCATGACCCAGGGACTGCGCTCGGTGAGGTCGGCCGAGTCACTCGTCTCCCCGAAGCCGGAGAGTCGGCACAACTCCGAGGTGAGTGACCTCAAATGCCGTGAGCGGGCGGAATGCCACTGTGTAGGCAACAAATATTATTTTAGTCGACTCAATGTGGATCTTTGATAATGTTCATACAACGTGCAGTGTTTTTTATATTGCTTCTTGTCTGGTCATCATTTCTGTGTCACAGCCCCTAGTGCTGGTAGAAGCTGCCACCGTACTGTAACGGTGTCCACCTCCGGCAGACGCTGGACTGCCGGTCAGCCGACGCTGACACTGTGACCGCACCGTCGCCGCCGACGCCGCCCGTCTCGAAGGTCGACTCCCCCGACTTCGACTCCGACTCCGACTCGACCCGACAGACGACCTCCGACCGCTCCGCCTCACACGACTCCTACCTCAGCGAGAACTCGCCGCCGAAGCGGCCTCCCCGCGGCGGCCGGCTGGAGGAGGCGGAGGATGGGGACGAGGAGCGAGAGGAGGTCACCCCGGCCGAGGAGGACGCGCGTGGTCTGACCACGCTGCGTTCACACCCTGTGGCCGAGTCGCCGCTGGCCGCTGCGGGTGCCGCCTCTCACCCGCTCGGCGAAGACGCGGCCGCCGGCGAGACACCCGCCTCGGCAACCACCCGCCCCTCGCTTCCGGCGGACAGCGAAACGCCGGTAACGCCACCCGGCGGCCGGCAGGTGGCAGCAGAAGAGCGAGGCTCGCCGGAGCCGCTTCCTCTGGACGCTCGAGCGCAGCTCACCGACCCCAGCAGCTTCCAGCGCAGCGCCGCTGATGAGGACGGACCTGAGGCGGTCGCCGAGCGGGCAGTGGCCGACGGCCCGCTTCACGGCCTGGTGCCGGAGGCGCTCGAGCTGCTGGAACGCCGCTTGGGCGCCGGCACCGTCGCCGATCAGGAGAACATCGCGGGTGGCCATGTCCCGCCGCGAGACGACACGTACGAAAACGTGTCGTGCGAGAACTACGAGAACGTGGCCGTGCCCGCGGTCGACGCGACGTACGAGCTGGTGCAGTTCTCCGGCGGGAGCGGTGCCGACGCGACCGGCGAACGCGAGATGTTCGAGAGCCAGACGTACGAGAACGAGACGTTCGCGCAGCATCTCTCGTACGAAAATGTGGACGGTGAGCGGTACGCGAACCTGGCGCCGGCGGACGCCGACGAGCGCTGGGTGTACGAGGACGTGGCGCCGGCTGGGCAGGCGGCGGCCGACGAGGCGGAGCGCGAGTACGAGCCGGTGTGCGTGGCGCGCGCCGGGGACGAGGTGTACCAGCAGGTGCGCGAGTTCCGCCGCTCCCTGCAGGAAGTGAACTCGATCGTCAAGCCTCTGGTGGTGCCGGCGGAGGACTCGGAATCGGGGCAAGTGTCGCTACCGTCGTCGAATTCTCAGATGACGTTGGAGTCACCAAAGAAATCTCAAGTGGATCAGCGGTTACCGGATGCGTCCCAGAGGGTGTCTGGTTCGCCGGAAGGTTCACAGATGGAGCTGCGGTGGCTAGATGTGTGCCAGGTGTTGCCAAGTCTGTTGGAGGGAACTCAAGTGACACTGAGGTCGGCTGACGGAACGCCGCTCGGAGAAGAACCCGAACGCTCGTCGGGATCTTCGGATGACTTCCGTGAGTCGGATGGGGCTGACTCCTGTGCCGGTGAGCACATGGCTGCCGCCTCCTCGGTCGCACCCCCGAGTGAGGCTTTGGTGGCGCCTGCGGACTGGACCGGTACCGATCCGGTGCAGACTCCAGCTCCACTTTCGGATGGGAACCGGCCAGCCTCAACCGACTCGAAGAAGAGCGTGGCGGCTGGATCGCCGGAACCATCGTCGAGAGCAGAACTGGAGCCTGCGCAACAGGCCGATACAGGAGACGGTACGGAATCCGGGGATGACTTGCCCGCACACAGCGGGCTGGAGCCATCACGCACCAGTCAGAACGAGTCATCCCCGGAGCAGGAGCTGGCGAACCTATCCGAGCGTGAGGTTGTGCTAGAGCTGCCCCCGCTCTCGTCAGCGGAGCCTTCGGAGGTGGTCGAGGTCGATCTGGGACCGACGGCCCGGGAGCCGGCTGAGCAGGCACCAAAGCCGCTCGCTCAGGACGGACCACGTGCGGTCACTCGGCGGGCGTCGTGCGACGCACCGGACAGCCCTCCGCCTGGAAAGACTGATGAAGCGAAGGCTGAGATTCTAGAGGTTAACAGTCTGCAGTCGCAGGAGCACGTTTCTGCTGGAGATACTTCTGATGCTGCCCCTGCCGGCGGTTTGTGCGCCGCTGCCGAGAACGGGTCGGTATCTGCTGACCCGAGAACACCCTGTGCGGCAACAGGCCAGCCGTCGGTGGCGAGGGCATGGAGTCGCCCACCAATGGACCGCTCGCAGACGCTTCCAGCATCCAGCACAGCCCTGGGAGCCTCGACAGTCCGGAGCGTGGCCCACACCTGGCCGCGCAGGCCGGCCGGCGAGGCGTCCCGCCCGGCGGCTGCAGAGCGTCGCTTGGAGCAAACGTCCTCATCAGCTCCACACCCGGAGTCGGCCGGACCAGGCGCTTCGCCGATGCACGCGCCGCCGGCACCCAGCCGCCTCCCGGAGCCGGCGGCAACTCTGCCGCGCGCCGACCCGCGTGCCGATCTGCGCAGTGACCTGCGTCGGCTCAGTGAGCGGCGCGCCAGCGTGCGCCAGTTGCTGTCGCGCTTCGAGGCGCGCAGCAGCGAAGAGCTGGTACTGTCCGAGGTGTGCGAGCACAGCTTGCGCCTGAGCGAGCGGGCCGTCGGCTCCGTGCACGGCCACTCGCCGCTGCGCGGGCCGCACGCGCTGGCCACGCGCTCGCTGCCGCGGCCGGCCACGCGGCGGCGCGCCGGCTCGCCCGGCCGCAAGGGTCGCTGCCGGCGTCCGAGGGCCGGCCGCCGTCGCCGCGACCCGTGCGGCGCCACCTGTCGTTTCAGTCGGTAGCGCGGCCTGGCGCCTGGCAGACGCACAGCGGCACCAGTTCGCTCCGCGCGCGGTGGGAAGAGAGCGCGGGGTCGGCGTTTTACGCGATGCGGGCAGACTCAGGCTGCGAGGAGGCCGGCAGGCGTCGGAGCGGCTCTGGGCTATATGGAAGCCGCAGAAGCCTGACGAACGGCGTAGCGGATGCGTCCGGGCGGACACCGGGCTCCAGGTCTTCGGCCGACCCAGCAGTGGGACGGGCCGATCCAAGCGACCCCGGCCGGCCGACTGGGGACGGAATCGGCGCCGATGTCCTTCGGAGACGACGCGATTGTCGCGGCGGGCGATAGAGGCCGACCCGGCACCGGCAGCTCGGCTGGCGTCCAACGGCGACGCCGCGGCGCGGGAGAGGATCGAACGGTAAAGCAGGAGCGGCGCGTGACCTTCTCCGGCAGCGCTACAGCTCGGACGGGTTCCATCGGGACGGGCCCGAGCCGCGCCGCCCGCCCGGGCGCCGCCCGCTCGCCCTCGCCGGCCGC